AAGAAGAAGAAGAAGAAGAAGACCACCAGGAGGAGGATCAAAGACAGAAAAGCAGTTTGAATGGGATTCTGTTGAGCCTTAGGCAGCAAAAAGGATGCTGAACTTTCAAACATTGGGGTCCCTTTGGAAGGTGTCACAAAAAGACAATAAAGCAAAAACTGCCGCAGGACATTTTTTGTTTTTCCTAAGCCTCTTCCAACGCAAGCTGGAGAGCCGGGGATCGTGAGGGAGATTGCAGGGTTTTTCTCCATGTTTTGAACACTGCAGTGAAACCAAAGGATTTGAATCATGCTCGCCCTGTCTGTTTTTGTTCCGGTTGGCACCTCCTTGGGGGCTTACAGTGGAAACGTAATTGCTGGGCTAGATGAGCCTTCTTTGGGACGTAGCATGACGTTCTTTAGCTGGAATAACTCTTTTTATGCACCTGTTATGGGCAGAAGGAGTGACTTTGAGGAACAGCAGGAAGAGCCCCAATGAAGACCATGGTTAAATAAAAGAAACTTGAGTCTGGGCCAAAACTGTAGCCTGGGTAAGTGTTCTCAGGCAAAAACTTGGCAAATTTTCACGAAGCTACTAGCCCATCATCAACTTGGCCTATGAAGACCTAGAAGGAACACCAGTAGTCCTTGGCTTACAACAGTTCATTTAGCGTCCGCTCAAAGTCACAACAGCGTCGAAAAAAAGTGACTCGCTGTACGATCATTTCTCACACGACCGTTGCAGCATCCCTGGGGGTCACACGATCGAAATTCAGACGCTCGGCAAGTGACTCGTATTTATGACGGTTGTACGTCAACCCCTTTGGCGGGGACCTTCGGACAAGCGAAGTCGAGGGGGAAGCTGCATTCACTTAACAACCCCGTGACAACAGCTGCAGAGACTCACTTAACAATTGTGACAAGGGAGATCGTAACGTTGGGAAAAGCTCACTGAACAGCTGTCTCGCTTAGCAACTGAAATTTTGGGCTTCATTGCGGTCATAAGTCCGCAATGGGGACAATTCCGCTAGGGTGAAACTTCGTAATATGCCTTCCCTACTTTAGATTCTAGCGATGCATCCATTTTGGGCTCTGGCCCATCCACCACCAATTTGCAAAATCCACCCCAGCCAAAACACTCCCATTTAAGTATTCAATGCTTCGTTTTTTTCCCCCTATTTATCGTTTTTCTTAATTTGCCATCCGCTGGCGTTAATTAATCCAAATTTCAAGTCAGATGCGCAGATCCCATCCACCCGAACGGCAGCCTTAAAGATGATCGATAAGCGATGAAATATGCAGGAGCTTGAATGGAAGCGCTGGCAAAATAGCATTTCACGCTCCTGTGGCTGTCAGCCCTTCTCGTAAACAATGCCGAAATAACCATTTTGCCATTAACCTGTCTGACTCGGCACATACATTCTCCGGCTTTCTAATGGAGTCGCTATTTCCCCAACAACAAATGGAAGAGTGTGGGGTGCATTGTGTGTCAGCCAGCAACATCAGGAGGACTTTAATCTGTTTTCCCTCGGAGGCAACCGGGTTGGAATAAATACAAACGCTCAGGACTCTCGATTCTTTTTCTCGTTTCTCTCCCCTGTGCCTTCCCACTTTCAAATATATTGCTAAAAAAACCACTGCCGTATCACATCTTGTTAACCGCTGCAGAGATGAAATCCAGACGGGCAGCCTCTAAAACGGGCAGCCAATGCGGTCAGGTTATCATTTTTATCGCTGCAGCCAGAGTGGTATCTGCATCAAAAGTCAATGTGGAAAGTACCCTGTTTCCCCGAAAATAAGACATCCCCTGATAATAACCGCCCTGAGTCCCTTCGGGGAGAAGGGCGGGACATAAATTAAAAAAAAATTAAAATAAGTCCAATCGGGCTTTTGAGCGCATGTGCTAATTAAGCCCTCCCCTGAAAATAAGTCCTCCCCGAAAATAAGCCCTCCCCAAAAATATTTAATAGCACTTAGACTTACATACCACTTTACAGCACTCTTCTAAGCGGTATGCAATGTCAGCCTATGGCTCCCAACAATCTAGGTCCTCATTTTGCCAACTTTGAAAAGATGGAAGGCTGAATCAACCTCGAGCCGGTCAGGATCGAACTGCTGGCAGTGGGCAGACTTAGCCTGCAATCCTGCAATTCTAACCACTGTGCCACCCAGGGGTGGGCTTATAAAAATTTTAGCAAGGGGTTCTCTGCCTGGTTGCTGGATGGGTGTGGCCATGATGGGCGTGGCCTAGTCAGCTTCCTGCACCATGGTGGGAGGGGGGCGTTTTTGCCCTGCCCGGGCTCCGAAGGCTTTTGTTGAGCCTCCACTAGGGCGAAAAGGGCCTCCCCAGGCTCCAGAGGCGCCTCCCGAACTTCCCATAGGCCGTTTTTCACCCTCCCCGAGCCTCCGCGCATGCCCTGCACTTGCCTGCATCCAAAATGGGCCGCGTGGGGACTCCTGGGAGGGGAGGGGTTGGGTGGGCGAAACCAGACCGGAGTTGGAGTTGAAGTTTCTCCGAACTGTACCGAATCTTAGCTAGAGGTTCTCCCGAACCCCTGCGAACCCCCAGTAGCCCACCCCAGGGTGCCACCCCAGATTCCCCACAGCACCCCAATTCTGAAACTGGCTAGCAAATATCAGGCTGTCTAACATTGGAGATGACACCCCCCCCCCCGCCCCCCCAATGTTTCTGCTAAGGAAATACCCGTGAAAAAGCTTCGCCGCGGACTAGGAGCAAAATTAATGCCAGTCAACGCACCTCCCCACCCTCATTTTTCAGTGTCATAACTGGCCGGGGAACAGCACGGAAACGTGATGTGTTCCTTGTAACACAATCAGAAAAACAGACTTGTCTGGGAGGTTGATTTTTTGCTGCTGTTTGTTTTTCCGTTCGCTGGCTGCTCTTCCCTGTCCGCAAACAGCCAACTGTTTTGCGGCATTCAAAAACTCCCTTCGGCCTCCACGCAGTCTGCTTTGTAAACCGATTATCCATGTCAGCGAGACATCCACACCAGCTTGCCAGTGTCTTGACTGCAAAATAACTTCATTTAACCTTGGCGGTTTTTTTATTTTGTTTTGTTTTTGGGGGGGGGTTGGTTTTTTTTTTTTGGAGGCGGATAGAAGTTGAAATGCATCCGTCTCTAAAAAATGAAAAATAAATCGGGTTAAATTTGAAAACCACTAGAGATTTTTAAAGCGTAACAAGCTCAGTGGTGAAATTCAATTTTTTTTTACTACCGGTTCTGTGGGCATGGCTTGGTGGGCATGGCAGGGGAAGGATACTGCAAAATCTCCATTCCCTCCCCACTCCAGGGGAAGGATACTGCAAAATCTCCATTCCCTCCCCACTCCAGGGGAAGGATAATGCAAAATCTCCATTCCCTCCCCACTCCCTCACCACTGCCACAATCTCTGCTTTCTATAAAGCACGCATATACATTTAATCATAATTTTTTTTAAAAAAACCCTGTTCCTTGCCTCTTCCGTTGCAGATCTGTGGGTCCCAGGAATGACGCTGGCTGCCTCCCCTCCTTCTTAAACCATCTTTCTTTCTTTCCCTCTTTCTTTCTTTTTTGGGAACTTCTTGACCTCGTGCTAAACGGTGCAGCTTTTTTCGTTTCCGGAGGCCAGTTTCCAGACACCTTTGTGACTTGTTTTTCCCAACTTGGCGTAAATCAGCAGGGCTCCCCGTGTGCGCTATTTTTCACTTGCTCTGTCTCGGGCATAAATAATTTCCCGGCCTCCCCTCTATGGCAGGGTCGGCTTCCTGAGTTATTTCTGATAAATGTTTCATAGCACAGAAGGCAGCAGACAACCGGAGGGCCATCGTGAAATATTTCATAAGGACGGTGGTTTTATAAGTAACCTTTATAAGCCTAGATTCCCACTTCTTCTCTTCTTCTCTTTTTAATTAAAAAAACAACAACAACCCTAGACATAATTTTGAAGCTAAGGAACTTAGGAGGGTGACATCAGAAGGTTTCTTTTTACAGCTCTCCACTTTTTCCCAGAGGTGATCCCAACTGAGTTGTTAGAACACCAGCCAGATTCAGTTATTTTTTATTGATCGGTTAGATTAAATCTACTTTACTCGGGTTATTCTCTGGTGAATATTTGGGGGACATTTTAAAAAAGAAAGAAAAAAAGAAAGAAAGGTTAATGTGCCTTAGAACAAAATAGCTCTGCTGCTTTTAAGCGTCCTTATCTGCTATATTTCTAACACGGGGTGAATAATCTGTGAGTAATTTGTGCTCTGGGATATCTTTGAAAGTTCAAAGTACTTCCCTGGCACCATGAAGTTTGGAGAGAAAAGGGGTACCAAAATAAATTGGAGAGAGAGAGGGAGAGAGAGGGAGGAAGGGAGGGAGGGAGGGAGGGAGGGAGGAAGAGAGGAGAGAGGGAGGGAGAGAGGAGAGAGGGAGGGAGGGAGGGAGGGAGAGGGAGAGAGGAGAGAGAGGGAGGGAAAGAGGAGAGAGGGAGGGAGAGAAGAGAGGGAGGGAGAGAGGCAAGGGAGGAAGGAGAGGGAGGGAGGGAGAGGCAAGAGAGGGAGGGAGAGAGGAGAGGAAGGGAGACGAGGGAGGGAGAGAAGAGAGGGAGGAAGGGAGGGAGAGAGAAGAGAGAGGGAGGGAGGGAGGAGAGGAAGGGAGGGAAGGAGAGAGGAAAGGGAAGGAGGGAGAGAGGAGAGAGGGAGGGAGAGAGAAGAGAGGGAGGAAGGGAGGGAGGGAGGAGAGGAAGGGAGGGAAGGAGAGAGGGAGAGAGGAAAGGGAAGGAGGGAGAGAGGAGAGGGAGGGAGAGAGGAGAGGGGAGGGAGAGGGAGAGGGGAGGGAGGAAGAGAGGCAAGGGAGGGAGGGAGGAGAGAGAGGGAGGAAGGGAGGAGAGAAAAAACCCTTTCCATTTCCCTTGTCTTGTGGATTTTAACATTGTTGTGGTTACTTCGCTCTTAAACAAGTTTCTGTAACATGTTGGGAAACTTTTTTTTTTTTTAATTGATCAAATGTATTTTCTTTGCCCCCAAATTTGCAGGCATTTTGGGTTATCTGGAACAAATTTAGCTGCCGATTGCATCAGAAACATCTCCCAGTGACGGTTTTGGGTGGATCGCTGCATTTTGATCCCAAAGTGTCAGGCAGGTAAGTCTGCATAAAAAAGAAAAAAAATACAAATTCAATTAAGTTCTGCCGTGCGTGTCAGAAGCTTGGTTTAAGATGAAATGACTTAAGATCAGCTATTTTTTTTTCCCCACTGGTCCTGAAACTTAATTTTTCTACAGCTCTTTGATTTTCCCAGGGATAATCTCTACTGAGTAGGAATCGTGAGTCATCATGCCACCCAAATGTATCTTGGGAAAGTATCTCTGAGTTGAGATTTCTTCCTTTTTAGGTAGAACTCTCTAAACCAGGGGTCACCAACCTTTCGGACCTCAGGGACCACTAAATTCATAATTTTAAATCCTGCGGGCCACTAATATGATGGGCAGAAAAGATAATCACATGCTTCAAGATGTTGGGTGAAGAGATGCTGAGAGGCCCTTGGTTTTATACCTTCTCTTTGTTCTGCCCCAGCTACGGACCCCAAAGAACACAGCACACACAAAGTCTATTTACTAAATTAAATCAGTCTTTTTCAAATAAAGGCTGTTAATTGACTTTCTTAACAGCCTACAAGAATCCAAAGAATAAATAAACGTAATCTTACTATAGTTGGCAGAAAGCCCAGAAGCAATTTGCAGGAAGCTGACAAGAGAACTAAGATCCAGTTGCGAAGGAGAGTGAACAAAGTTGTTCCCTGAAAATTGCTTCAGTCGGTGTTCCTCCTTAAATAGGCTAAGGGAGTGGCTAATTAGCCCCAAGCCTTACTCTCGAGGAGACCTCCTGAGGAGCCACTCCTGCCTTTTGGCAGCTCTGCGCGCCCATGCATCGAGAAGAGGCTCCTCCTCTTCTTCCTCTTCACTTATGGGAGCTTCTGGAGGTTCTGAAGGCCCTGGCTGAATCCCCGCCTCTGGCACCACATCTTCTCCAGCCTCCTCACTGTCCGACTCGAGTGCCAGCTGCACAGGCTGCTGGCGCAGCACCACTCCAGCCTCCTCGCTGTCGGAATCAGCTACTAGCTGCACAGACCGCTGACGGGCCACAACATTCTTGGGCCCCACCTTAGTGTTTCCTGTTCCCGTATAAGAAATGTGCCCTGATTGGTTGTCAGACTCCCAGGAGGCGGGGGTCTTAGCTTACTTTGTAGGTGGTCTCCCAAGCTTGCTTGAACCTGGCTCAGACCTTAATGGTCCATTGACAAAGCGGGGGGGCAGGGTTGTCTTTAAAACATGTTTCTCCATTTCTCTATTATATTTCCCTTTTTTGATATTTCCTAAAATATTTCATTCTTCTAGGAGCGGGGTGGGTTTTAACTTCCTCCAGACCTTTGTTCTGTTAGAGAAAGTATTTTCCAAAAGGATTTGAAACGCCAGAACTCAAGTAAACTGGAAAATCAATTTCAAGCGATGACGATCCCATTTGGCTTTTTTCGCTCTGGGCCAGGCCTGTGTTTTTTACTACGTCTCACACAGCCTTCAGCGTGTCCCTTTTTTCGCATTCGGTGCCTGAATCACACACCTCATCATTTTAATGTCGCCCATTTCGACTCGACACACACAAATAAAGTATAAAACTCAAGCCACCGGATTCAAGTTTTACACACCACAGGCAGTGGTGGGTTTCGATTTTTTTTTACTACCGGTTCTGTGGGTGTGGCTTGGTGGGTGTGCATGGCATGGCTTGTTGGGCATGGCTTAGTGGGCATGGCAAGAGGAGGATACTGTAAAATCCCCATTTCTTCCCAATCGGCTGGGATTTGGGAGGCAGAGAATAGATGGGGGCGGGGCCAGTGGGATTTTTACTACCGGTTCTCCGAACTACTCAAAATTTCCGCTACTGGTTCTCCAGAATTGGTCAGAACCTGCTGAAACCTGCAAAGTTGAGTGGGAGAATATAAATGAATGCAGAGGGGGCATATACAGTGTATATATATATATATATATATGGTATATATATATATATACATATATATATGTGTGTGTGTGTGTGTGTGTAAATCCTGCGGGCCACTAATATGATGGGCAGAAAAGATAATCACATGCTTCAAGATGTTGGGTGAAGAGATGCTGAGAGGCCCTTGGTTTTATACCTTCTCTTTGTTCTGCCCCAGCTACGGACCCCAAAGAACACAGCACACACAAAGTCTATTTACTAAATTAAATCAGTCTTTTTCAAATAAAGGCTGTTAATTGACTTTCTTAACAGCCTACAAGAATCCAAAGAATAAATAAACGTAATCTTACTATAGTTGGCAGAAAGCCCAGAAGCAATTTGCAGGAAGCTGACAAGAGAACTAAGATCCAGTTGCGAAGGAGAGTGAACAAAGTTGTTCCCTGAAAATTGCTTCAGTCGGTGTTCCTCCTTAAATAGGCTAAGGGAGTGGCTAATTAGCCCCAAGCCTTACTCTCGAGGAGACCTCCTGAGGAGCCACTCCTGCCTTTTGGCAGCTCTGCGCGCCATGCATCGAGAAGAGGCTCCTCCTCTTCTTCCTCTTCACTTATGGGAGCTTCTGGAGGTTCTGAAGGCCTGGCTGAATCCCCGCCTCTGGCACCACATCTTCTCCAGCCTCCTCACTGTCCGACTCGAGTGCCAGCTGCACAGGCTGCTGGCGCAGCACCACTCCAGCCTCCTCGCTGTCGGAATCAGCTACTAGCTGCACAGACCGCTGACGGGCCACAACATTCTTGGGCCCCACCTTAGTGTTTCCTGTTCCCGTATAAGAAATGTGCCCTGATTGGTTGTCAGACTCCCAGGAGGCGGGGGTCTTAGCTTACTTTGTAGGTGGTCTCCCAAGCTTGCTTGAACCTGGCTCAGACCTTAATGGTCCATTGACAAAGCGGGGGGCAGGGTTGTCTTTAAAACATGTTTCTCCATTTCTCTATTATATTTCCCTTTTTTGATATTTCCTAAAATATTTCATTCTTCTAGGAGCGGGGTGGGTTTTAACTTCCTCCAGACCTTTGTTCTGTTAGAGAAAGTATTTTCCAAAAGGATTTGAAACGCCAGAACTCAAGTAAACTGGAAAATCAATTTCAAGCGATGACGATCCCATTTGGCTTTTTTCGCTCTGGGCCAGGCCTGTGTTTTTTACTACGTCTCACACAGCCTTCAGCGTGTCCGTTTTTTCGCATTCGGTGCCTGAATCACACACCTCATCATTTTAATGTCGCCCATTTCGACTCGACACACACAAATAAAGTATAAAACTCAAGCCACCGGATTCAAGTTTTACACACCACAGGCAGTGGTGGGTTTCGATTTTTTTTTTACTACCGGTTCTGTGGGTGTGGCTTGGTGGGTGTGCATGGCATGGCTTGTTGGGCATGGCTTAGTGGCATGGCAAGAGGGAGGATACTGTAAAATCCCCATTTCTTCCCAATCGGCTGGGATTTGGGAGGCAGAGAAAGATGGGGCGGGGCCAGTGGGATTTTTACTACCGGTTCTCCGAACTACTCAAAATTTCCGCTACTGGTTCTCCAGAATTGGTCAGAACCTGCTGAAACCTGCAAAGTTGAGTGGGAGAATATAAATGAATGCAGAGGGGCATATACAGTGTATATATATATAATATATGGTATATATATATACTACATATATAATATGTGTGTGTGTGTGTGTGTGTGTGTGTGTAGGTCTTTGGTTATTCGGTTTTCTCCCGCGTAAAGTTGGAGGTGTCTTGGCAACGTTTCGACGAAGTCTCATTCGTCATCTTCAGCCTGAAGATGACAAATGAGACTTCGTCGAAATGTTGCCAGACACCTCCAACTTTACGCGGAGAAAAACCCGAATAATCAAAGACCACGGTGTGTATATATATATATATATATATATATATATATATATATATATATATATATATTTGTTTTCTTGTCTTATCGTAGGCCCTTTATGTGTATTTCTCCTCAGCCGGGTACTTTCCTACGTAAACCAAGATTTTAAAATGCAGCCATAGCTCAGTGAAATCACATCCACTAGTTCTAGGCTATTGGTCAGCAAGCAAGCAGTTTGCTGCCTTTTGGGAAACTAATATAGATCTATTTCGGACTAATTAGTCCTCATCAGTTAGCCACACCCTCATCCCATGTTTCCTCCCCGTAGAGTTCAAGTATTTGTTTTCTTCTCTTATCGTAGGCCCTTTATGTGTATTTCTCCTCAGCCAGGTATTTTCCTACATAAATTTTAAATGTTTTAATTGGTTTGTATTTTTAATTTTGGGCCAAATTTATATATATTTTAATTGTTTTTAATATTTGTATTTCATGTTTTTTAATTCTGGCTGTACACCGCCCTGAGTCCTCAGGGAGAAGGGCGGTATATAAATTTAAAAATAAATAAATAAATAAAAAATAATAAATAAATAAATAAATAAATAAATAAATAAATAAATAAATAAATAAATAAATAAATAAATAAATAAATAAATAAATAAATAAATAAATAAACAAACAAACAAACCAAGCTTTTAAAATGCTTGCTTGCTGACCAATAGCCTAGAACTAGTGGATGTGATTTCACTGAGCTATGGCTGCATTTTAAAATCTTGGTTTACCTAGGAAAATACCCGGCTGAGGAGAAATACAAGTTCGAATCCAAGTAAGGGTATGGCTAGCTGATGAGAGCTAAATAGCTTGAAATAGATCTACACTAGTCTCCCTTTATTTCTTTATCAGCGAAATATATATAAATATATATAAATATATATTTTATATATATATAAAAATTGCAAAGGACTGGGATTTCAGTAGAGAAGTGATGCAGAGGCATACAGCAGAAAGGGAAGAGATTCTGCATGAGGCACTGCAATGTTTTTCCGTGCCAGAATAGGTGTCTTGCATAAGTGTGTGTGTGCACGCACTGGGGGAGGACAGAACAAGTGTTTTTTCTTGCGTTGAATTAGATCAAGTTCTACAATAGAGGCAGTTCAGCAAAGCAAAGTTTCTTTTAAGCTGGTTGGCGACCGTCAAGGGAACCCACAAACACAATCTCGCCAAACAAAAAAATGCTTAGAAGCTTTCGACTTTGGGCTTTTCTCTTGGGGAGGT